CCTGTGTCGGTCGTGGGTGTGTTTACAAACATACAAGTTCACGTAGGTAGGTATACATGACACCCACACCCGGAACAACAATTTGCGGATCACACAATGAGTTGCTCCGTGCAGAATCGAACCCGCGACACCAGCCACCTCGCCAACCGTGCTGTCAAAATTTATTGATTGCTATTTTGTGTTGTAATAGTTAATGCAATGGGTTTGTTCAAAGTCTTGTGTTTAACTTGAGAATATTATTCAGAAATACAGAATATGACATTGAATTTACGTATGCTTGAAGATAATAGGGCTTATTGTAGGTCGTTGTCGCGGAGAACCTAACGGGTAACCGGGGCTCCGGCTGGACGTGCAGGAGAAGGAACGGGGTGGTTTTTAGCCAGTAAGAGTCTGACACTCCCTTCCGCCTCACCCAGGCGGGAGAAGTCATTGGATGATTTTCCCCCCTTAAAAAAAATGTAGGTCGTTATAGAAAACGTGAGCGGCAAAGATGCGCTCCCGAAGCAGGTCTGCTACAGAAGATTATCTTACAAAAATAAAATTCCTAAAAGAATTATTGCACTTCAGACCGCTACACGGTAAACAGTATAAATATTTTCTATTTCCTAAACAATTGTTCCACAGAACAGTTGATAATTTCACAATTGTCCCCTAGGTGTTTAATAATGCATCACAATGTTCCAAAGTTAATTGGGTAAATCAGAGTAATAAAACTTTGTCAGTGCCCTTCGGAATTCAGTGAGGAGTGGGCTGCGTCATGGTTGCCAATTAGTCAGATAATCCCCTAGAAGGCCGCGAGTTGTGGCGACCAAGTGGTGATTATTTAGACTTTAGAAGCTTACTCCTTGTTAGTAGCTGGTAAACCTGGCTTCGAGATTATATCTTGAAGGTGCAGTGGCTTGTTATAAATGTTGTGTATTATTTCGTTTGGGGGGTTTCGTTTGGCCTCTAGATAGTTTCTCAGTCTTAGGTGGGTTGAAGTTTGTGTAATAGAACGTTATATAAAGTATGTAAAGATTATCATAATTATATAACATTACGCCTTTTTAATCCTGAAGGGGTAGGTAGAGATGCACATTCCATTGTACATTGTAACACCCACTTTTCACTATTTATGTTATGAGTCCCATATAAAGGGGGTGAGTCTATTGCCATATACCGGGCGCAATTCTAGTCTCCGTGCTACTACTGAGATTTAAAAAAAAGCAATACTTTGCCCGACCCGGGATTCGAACCCGTGACCTCTTACCTATTATTCTAAATATTTAGAGACTTCTGTAATGTATGAAATAGAAGACGTTTTGTTTAGTTAACGTGTTACATTATATAATTAGACTTTAACTGCGTAGTTGTATTTCTTAAATAACTACTTCTTAAAAAGAAAATGAAGACTTCGCAAAGCAAGTGATTAGTAATAGGCGAAGACACGTGAGTTATTAAAGTAACCCTCAGTTATCAATGGAGGTGATATAGTGACCTGACCTCACGTTAATAGATTATAGGGGAGCACTTGCTAAGGGGGCGCACATACGAACTGGAAAGAGGAATTGTGTCATAATTTAAAGGGATTTTTTTGGTTTACTAAATGTTTTTCTAACAACTGGATTGTTAATATGAGAATTGTATTGTAAACCTGATTGAAAAAGAGTAACCTATGGAGTTTCTTGCTCGTTCTTCTCCATAGGAATCTACGCCTTGGAATGAGCAACTAGCTTCACTTATAAATTTTTGTTGTTTGACGTTCAAAAGTGACATCCTGGTCTAATTGAAATAAATGATTTTGACTTTGATGTCATGCGTATTTTTATAAAACAACTGCATGTCTAGTCAAAGTAAACCTATCCCATAGTAAAAGTCCTTTAAAAATCCGGGACTCAAAAAAGTCATTAGACTGTAAGTGACAAACGTAGTGATAGGATGACTGTCTGCTTGGTGCCTTTGACGATGGTGTTTTGAGGATTTCGAATGTACAAACAAAAACAATAGAAAACTAAAAATATAGGTAGGTATTGTTATGTTAGTGGATTGATAGTCTGATATATTTTACTTGGATTTATTATAATAATGTGCAGAGCAACGACGCGACGTTTATACACGCCAGAGTATGACAGATAGACGAAGCGAAGTGTCGAAGTGCAGGAGAAGGAACAGGGTGGTTTTAGTCAGTAAGAGTCTGACACTCCCTCCCGCCTCACTCAGGCGGGAGCAGTCATTCGATGATTTACCCCCTTAAAAAAACGACGAAGCGAAGTGAAAAATAATCTATGGCTAGTTCACTCTCTATTAGATTTTAAGTATTTTATTCATTTTGCAAACTTTATGATAGTGTCTGCTGCCTTATACAGAAACCCGCGAGGGATCATAAAAAGAAGCCATCCCTTTATCTTAACGATTAAGCTGTAATGGCGGTGTTAGGCATGGGACACTGCTGCGAAACGATGACATTATTTCAACGTTTTTTGTATCTATAAATAACGTTTTTGTTGGTATGTTTGTTTTTTATGTAGAGACTATTTTGGAACAAAAAAAGTAGCTGATGCGTTTTAATTTTATTGAAATAGTGTACAGTAGAGTTATGACAAAAGAGAAAAGCTTAAATTTTTGACATTTACCTGGAAATTAAAAAACAGGATTATTGTGTTTTAATCTACAAATAACGCTTATTATCAACAAAGCCTCTATTTACACCATTCCTTATAAATTTATCGATAAAAACGCTTCCTATAACTATAAACAAAACGATCACCATATTTTAGAAACGCCTCGACAAAAAAATCTCTAACAAAAACCCGAAAAAAATAACCCTTTGAACAACGTCTATAAATAACGGTTATCGTTACGATCGCAGCACTATCGTTAATGAGAATAGGTGGTGACATCGATAGCCGATAGCCGGTAATGATATATAAACTGAAAGGGTGTTAATCTTTAGGGAAAGTGAGAGTAGCAGATTGGCGATATTGTAGCGAGGGTCCCTGAATTAACCTGCTGAGTTTCTCAAAGAACCATTAACTATAGACGCTATTTTTTTATCTGATGATTTTGTTTTATAAGTAACTGATAGATAACATAATTATTTTATTAACTACGTTTAATAAAACCGACATTAACACCATCTATTTTAAGTCGGTTAATTAATCTTATATCTTATACTATTATATAAAGCGGAAGAGTTTTTTTTTGTTTGAACGCGCTAGTCTCCGTAACTACAAGTCTGATTTGAATAATTATTTTTGTATTGGATAGCGCATTTATCGAGGATGGCTATAGGCTATAAAACATCACGCTTTAACCAATAGGAATTGAGCAAGCGTGGCGCGTGGTGATTACTGCTCAAATCTTCTCCGTGTGAGAAGAGGCATTGCCACTAATAGGTTGTTGCTGTGATGTGATAATAAAGCATTTGTTTTCATTTCTGTACCCCTTAAATAATGTTTTTTTTAATACTTATTATCTTTTAGTCTTAACGTAGGTATAACCTAATTCTTGAAACTATGTAGAGGTAAGTACTTGAGATAAATAAACTAAGTTTTGTTTACGTAAGTAACTAGAAATCCTTGAAGGTTAAGAAAAATATATAAATAGCATGTACGTAAATAAATTACCTATGACTATGTATATATTATATATATTTCTTGATGCAACACATATTAAGTACTCATAATCGTTGGTAGATGTTAACTAGCATCTGCCATCGGTTTCACCCGCGTTTCCGTAGGACAAAAAGTGGTCTATGTGGCTAGACTACAATCTACCTCTGTTCTAAATGTCTTCTTTTAGCTGTTATTGCGTAAAGAAGTAACAAACAAACATACGAATGTTTGCATTCATAATATTAGCAGGATGTAAGTTATTTATGAATGATGTCAGTAGACTGTGGTATGTGTTTAAATTGCAGTATTACAATAATTACGACGTGCGAGCTACTATGTGTAAAGTAGTACCTATTGCGACTAATTTAAATAGGTTATTTATAAATGTCTGCCTCGTTCGCCGAGTAGTTGCCAGTGCTACTGCCGGGCAAGGGGTCACCGGTTCGATTACCGGGTCAGGCAAAGTATTACTGGGTTTTCTTAAAAATTCTCAGTAGTAGCACGGAGTCTGTAATTGTGCCCGGTATATGGCAATACGCTCACCCCCTATTACATGGGACTCATAACATAAATAGTGAAAAGTGGGTGTTACATTGTACACTGGCATAATGTACATGATGTTATGTTATTTATAAATGTTAAGTATAATATGTATTTTATTATTATTTATACATGTATTTTATTATTATTATTATAAAAAACATTGCGTTTAGACGTAGCCTACCTGACTCCAGATTAGACTGGTTTAGTCAGTTTTACAAAATAGTGCCATGGTTATCGTGTGCATAGATTTTATGTAAATAGTCGGTATACTATGTTTATGGGATAATGCTTGCAAAATGAATGTGTTTATGCGTTTAGCTTTACTTATCCCTTATGTCAGGGCATTTCGTTCTCTTTTTGAGTATGATAGTATATTTGATACATAAAATAAAAACTATATATCGTTTTTTCCTAAATTAGTCTTATCTTCTAATCTTGACCGAGTGGTCGCAAGTGTCCTGCTGGGCAAGGGGTCTCGGATTCGATTCCCGGTTCGGGCAAAGAATTACTGGGTTTTTAGAAAACTCTCAGTGGTAGCACAAAGTCTGGAAATGTGCCCGGTATATGGCAATAGGCTTATCCCCTATTACATGGGACTTATAACATAAATAGTGAAAACTGGGTGTTGAATTGAACAGTGGCATTAAGTGACGTAATGTACACCTCTGCCTATCCTTCCGGGGATAAAATGCGTGATGGTATGTTATGTTAATCGAAAACAGAGTCTTATGAAATACAGTTAAAAATAAACACAGGTGTGATACATAAATACCTCAACATTTATTTCGTATAAAAATAAAAACAGTATGTGACTATGTAACTTAAGTAAAGTATAAATAGTTTTAAACTAACTTATTCTATAGCTTATAACTCATTAACAAACTCATTGTCTCGTTGTACAAACTGCACGCTCATCTTCCCGCTGGGCATATAGAACATGCCATTCTTCTCGATCTCTATTTCACTGGGTTTCAAGGTGCCTGGAATGACCTTGATTTCGTACTTTAGTAGGATCTCTGCTAAAGCTTGACGGAGAGTCTGGTAGGCGAAGCGCATTCCTGCAAAAAAGAGCAATATTGTTATTGTTATACTAGCTTTTACCCGCGGCTTCGCTCGCGTCACAAAAGAATAAAAAGGTAGCCTATGTGACATATACCAAAACACACAGCGCCATCTATACCAATACTTTTGTTTTCCCTCGGGAATATCATTTTTTTCCGGGTTAAAAAGTACCCTATTATTTAATCGGACTTCTAACTTTACGTCTGCAAAAATGCAAAGCAATCGGTTGAGTAGTTACGGCGTGAAGGTAGAACAAACAAACAAACAAACAAACTCACTTTCAGATTTATAATATTAGTAAGGATATGTTAAGAAATAATCACACTATGTATGATTCACTGCAATCCGTTTCTTGAAGCTACCACCATCGCTGCCTTGTTTCGCAAGACCTCCCGAACGTCGAGCGCTACCAAGAAATATCATAACTGCGGTTCACCGATTGCGTTATATCGGTTGATTTAATTCAAGTATAATTTAGTCTTTTGAGATTCACTTTTTGTTTTAAAATCGAACAGATTGTCTTAGAAATAATTACTTGTAACACTAATTACTTAATTACACGTATGAGTTAATTGTTTCGGTTCATTTTGTATCCTCAACGACAACCCTACATAATTTATATGTTAAATTTTTAGATTATCCGACTTTGTTTATATTATTTGACTGCATGGTTGGTGCGGTGGCTGGGTATTTGGCCGCCATGCAACGTGTCGCGGGTTCTACGGAACGGAGCAATTTTTTTTTATTTAAATAAAACGTTGCACCACACTAGGATTTTCTCCGGTGTGCCAAACATGAAAACGCAACGTTTAAAAAAAATAATAAAAAAATAATCTGACAAGCTGGCCACTTTTAAGAATGAAATCCTTGTTTTTCTTTGGTTTATGAAATATATGCAGTGTGCTTCTGACTAGTTTGTTTAATTTACACGTAAAATAATTATTGCATTATAGTAATTAAAAATATATAACAGCTATTAAACTAGTTTCCAAGGAATTAAGTTTTAAGTAGCAGAAAAGAAAAAAAAAATTCGTTAGAGAAAATAAGTACAGTCTGAGGATAAGTCACATAAGAGCAGTTCTTTCATAGCCAGCCATTAGTTTAGCTGTTTTGAACTTTTGCATAATAAGACTTGGTTCTTATTGAATAGGGTTCTAATTAATTACGAATCAGAAATTTTCAACCCTATGATGTGAATAAAATAATTAAGACTTACCTATACAATTCCTCGGTCCTTCTCCAAAAGGCATAAACGTGTATGGTTTGATATTTCGTTCATTTTCCGGTAGAAACCGGTCAGGGTTGAAGACTTCGGGGTTCGGGAAGTACTCAGGGTCCATCTGCATGCTGACACCGTTCACATAGACAGCAGTTCCAGCAGGGATAGTCAGCTTCTCATCAATCTGGTATTCCTTAGTGGCGATGCGATCCAACCAGCCCATTGGAGGGTAGATTCTGAGGGTTTCTGGAGACGAAAAAGATTTTTGTAACTAAAATGAGCCTTACTCCAATGTATTTAAGTGTTTAACCATATTATTAATAGAGCAATTATGTATTTATAAGCCAACATGTAATCTATCTATATATATAAAAGAAAGTCGTGTTAGTTACACTATTTATAACTCAAGAATGGCTAAATCGATTTGGATGAAAATTGGTGGGGAGGTAGCTTAGAACCAGGAGACGGACATAGGATACTTTTTACCCAATTCTTTTTTTTTACTTTTTACCGAAAATCAATAACGGGAACGGGAAATATCGGGATTGCGCGTACGAAGTCGCGGGCAGAAGCTAGTTTTCTATAAAAGCTACCGATTTGATGTAGAAAATATTGATAATAATAGAACCTTTGACAACATATAATTGATGCTGATAGAATTAGCTGTGAGAAGTAAATGCGTAAGAGCCAGTACCTATTAAATTGCACGCGTGACACACGTGTACTCGTACACGTATCACTCTATGCGCATGCATAACTGGTTTTATATTTGCATTTACTTAGTAGGTATACGGAGATATTATTAATTCAATAAAATGAAAGGGCATCAGTGTTATCACAATATTCGGTTACCTAACGACAGCCAGTCCACAAACCCTCATATGGAATAGAGACTATGTTATTATGACTTTAAAAGGACCTTTTGTTTAGAAATAAAAAATATTGTAAGAATTAGGTATATTTAGAACTCCTCTCGCCTGCGATACAGGAATGTCCTAGTGCAGGCAAATAACATTGTGAGGACAATTGTATGTATTTACGATATGTTTTTGTATTTCGCATTTTTTGAATTATGAATAAAAATTGATTGATTGATTGATTGAACTGTTCTTCTTCTTCCTTACCCTTGATAACACAGTCCAGGTAGCCGACCTCAGCAAGCACGGTGGAGTCGAAACCACGGTCACCAATTTTCCTTTTCATGTTCAAAATATCTTCGTATAGTTTTTCCTAAAAATATAATTTGCGTATGAGATTTATTGCAGTATTTAAGCAGGTAAAGAAATAAAGAAAAACATCTATAACATCTGGTGGAATATGGATGATGTTCACCTTGACCTAAATATATTCCTAAGGCATAGATATTCCCCTTACCTGATATAGTGGGTTCCAAGCCAATTCATACATGGTCCAGGTTAATGCAGCACCAGAAGTGTCGAAGCCACCCAGCAAGAACACTGCAGCTTGAGCAAGTAAGATGTCTTCTGTCATTTCTAGAAATGAAAACGTTTTTATCAGTGTGGTTGAGTATATGGTTTTTTTAAGGGAGAAAATAATCGAATGACTTTTCCCGTCTGAGTGAGGCGGAAGGGAGTGTCAGACTCTTACTGACTAAAAACCACCCCGTTCCTTCTCCTGCACGTCGAACCGGAGCTCCCGTAGCCCGTTAGGTTCTCCGCGTCTCCAGCATATATGGTTTGGTTTTGCATTTGTGTAAGGACTTAGAATTGGGCCTGTTGAATGGCTATAGGGTTGCCCTCTATTACTGTCTGATATGTTGGTACAATTAAAAGTAAGCCTACAATAATATACTCAAGTTTTCATGTTGAACTTCCATCATCTACCTTTTTCTTTTTTTTGGACATGTCTGCCACATCCTCCTAAAACCACTGCATCTCCTGTAAACCAGGATCTACAGTAGATACAACCACGAAAACACCGGAACACTGAAGTCCGGCGCGTCCCAGGGACATCTTCCATCATCTACCTTGCAAAATCTCACATTTCAAACAAAGTTTACCTTCATTTTCCATGTCAGCTTCCTTCTTGATCTTCAGCAGCGCATCGAGCAGGTCTCTAGCATCCTTGATGTCCTTGTCATATCCTCCTCTCTGTTCCACCATAGTACGGAATATTTTGCGGAGCAGCTTCATCGTGTCTTTGGGGAAGAAACTGAATCTGCAAGATTAAGTGGATTTGAAATTAATTGATTCGTTTTGGTTTGAGACAAAATATTTTGCAATTAAAGCAGATACAAAAAGATTTAGAATTGTGTATGTGAAAAATTGAGACTTGACACTACAGCGAGAACACAGATCTCATTTTAACAGAAATAATATAATATGGAATTACCACTGAATTACTAACCTGAATATATCGACCAGTTCAGGGAAGAAGAAGATGCTGGACCAGGACAGTCCTCGATGCAGGTTGAAGGCCTGGAACTCTCTGGTGACTCGCCTCATGATGCTGTCGCCGTCGGTCAGGGAGTTGCTGGTGATGCCAAACGCTGATTCTCCAATGACATCAGTTGTGAAGTCGGTGCAGATTTTCTGAAAATAAGAGAATATACATCAATGCTAAAACTCGATCCCAATCTTATTGACCTAATTATTAATGCAGCGTGATTTAACGTGACCTCTGAAATCTATCAATATCAAATCGTTATCAGAATATAAGAACTTTGTTACAAAATTCCTCATTAAAATCAAACTGATAGCCCAATCTAGAGTTATAAGTTCAACACTAACTGGTGGGCTATCTTAATTACATATTATGTTTTCAGTTTATTTGCCGTAGAACTCGACTAATTTGGACTGTCGCCGCATCGTATGTCGCGGAATGCTGCTCATGAATACGAGCCTCTAGCATGGCTTGAAACTAGTCGAGTTCCTCGTCAAATTATTACGTGAGTAAGCCGAAAACATAATAATTAATTTAGTATGTCTCACGAATGTTATGATTGGCTATGTCTGGAATTTTACATTTAGCACTAAATTACAAACATTCAAAGTTCAAGTTCATATTACTGGTATGCACTAAGTGCCGTATCAATAACTACTAAACGATAATGTATGTGTAAATGTTGTTATTTTAACCGACTTCAAAAAACAGGTTCTCTGTTTGACCTGTCTTTGAGTGTGATTATCTCGTTATTGGCTGACCCGATTTTGATGCGGTTTTCAGAAAAGTGTTTGCTACACTTAGGAGAAGGTTTAATTAGAATATTAATTAACCAACTTCAGAAATAGAAGGGGATCGATCGAAACATTAGTTTATAAAAGATTGATTTTTTGTTTTAAATACGTTGCCCCACACTAGGGTTTTCTCCTGTGTCGTGGGTGCGTTTACAAACATACAAGTTCACATATACACGACACCCAGACCCGCAATAACAATTAGTGGATCACACAAAGTGTTGTTCGGTGCGGTAATCGAACCTACGACACGTTGCATGGCAGCCGGTTGCCTAGTCACCGTACCAACCGTGCAGTCATTGTTTTTATATTGAATGCATTTATGATATCGATTTCTTTTTCTTTTTGATCTTTTCTTGGAAAAGATTACTTAGAGAACTGATACATATATCTTACACTTTTTTTTTAAGGGCGGAAAGTCATCCAATGTCTGCTCCCGCCTGGGTGAGGCGGGAGGGAGTGTCAGACTCTTACTGACTAAAAACCACCCCGTTCTTTCTCCTGCACGTCGAGCCGGAGCCCCGGTAACCCGTTAGGTTCTCCGCGACTATATATCTAACACTAAGTTGTAAGAGTAGAACACGTGAGTCCAATTCTAGTTAGGTACTTACTCTAAGGTCAATGAGGTCAGGTTTTTTAGATTCAATTTCAAGGCGTCTGATGAAATCCTTGGTCTTGGCGATGGTGATGCCGTTCAGACTTCTTAGTTTCGCAGCAGTGAATACCAAGGTCAGACGTCTTCTCAGCTTCGACCAGAGAGGGTCCTGGGAACAAAACAAAATGGTTTTAAGCTATCATATAATAAGAGTTTGAATGTTCGTTTGTTTGAACTTTGAATGCACTAATCTCAGGAACTACTGACTACTTCATTCATCGAGGAAAGCTAAGGCTACCGAGGAAGGCTCTATAATATCACGCTACGATCAATAGCGGAAGCTAAAGCGGGCGAAACCGCGCAAATTGAGCTAGTTTCGGATAAAGGTTTTCTTGATAGGAAAAATTTTGGCTTGATGCATTTATACAAATTTTATCATTATGTACCCCAAAAAGATGTAGATAGAGCTCTAAATTGTATGCACAATATGCAGAAACTATTAGGGCTCGTACACAAAACTGCGATGCGATGCGAATTCACAACGCAGAAAATTACGATGCGAATTGTTGCGATGCGATTTCGTGCGACAAGGCGCCTCCCAGGGTGACCATTCCTTCGACGACTGTCACCTGTACTAAACGTATTTTAAATTGAAAACTAGGCCGTGACATGGATCGTAAAAAGAAGTGTGCATTTCTGTTATTGCTTAGGAGATACAGGAAAAAGAAACAAAGAAGATTCTGGGTAGATAAGATTTTGATGCGCGATGCGAATGAATTCGCAAGTTCTTGCGATGCGTATGGGGAGCTCGCACAATTTTGCAATGCGACGTCGTCGCATCGCAGTTGTGTGTACCAGCCCTTACTCTATTTATTATCCACTTAATACAAAGTGGTTTAGAATGTGATGACGTTAGTCTTTACAAGGTAACTATTAACTGAATGTATTTACGTAATAATACTAATATGACATAACTAGCTACTTCCGCGCAGTTTCACACGCTCTGCTCAGCTCGTATTGGTCGTAGCGTGATGTTTTATAACCTATAGCCATCCTCGATAAATGCGCTGTCCAACACAAAAAGAATTATTCAAATCAGACTTGTAGTTACCGAGGTTAGCGCGTTCAAACAAACAAACAAAAAAACAAACTTCTTCCGCTTTATATAATAGTATAAGATTATGCGTAATAAACATATTACTCATTGCATACCACCTTGCAACGGCCATGGTGTGAAACAGAAATCAATATAATATACCTACCTACCTACATATACAACATGTAACGTAATTAACGCACACCCTCAAACACCCCAATTAGAATATTATGTTATAATCATAATACATACACTAAATTTTTAATTTAACATGTATATCCTTTCTGGTCTTGTCATAAGGTTTATTTTTCTTTATTTTGTATTGAATGATAAAATTTGTATGAATACAAATAAAACTGTGATTTTAACTGTCTTATTGCTTTGACTTACGGTCCATTTCGATTTGTTTTAACAATACAGTTTTAATATGACAATAATTTCCGTAGTTTTAATTATTTTTGGGATAAAAAATTACCTATACTAAAAATTATATAAATCGATTCAGTTAACGATTCTAAACAAACTTTTTTCAGGATGTGCGTTATTTAAGTTACATGTTGCATAACGTTGAAACACTAAAGATATTATTAGCTTCGCCCCCATTCCCGTGGAATAAAAAGTAGCCTATGTGTTATTCCATACTATAGTCTACCCCTATTCCCAATTTCATCCCGATCTCTTCAGCCGTCTTGACGCGAAGGAGTAACAAATACTTAAAGTTTCACATTTATAATATTAGTAGGATACCTGCCCACAAGGAATATTATATTATTAACTTACTAGCTTTTACCCGCGGCTTCGCTCGCGTCACAAAAGTATAAAAAGTAACCTATGTGACATATACCAATATACACAGCGCCATCTATACCAATAATTTCGTTTTCCCTCGAGAATATCGAATTTTTCCGGGATAAAAAGTACCCTATTATTTAATCCAGACTTCTAACTTCACATCTGCAAAAATTCAAAGCATTCGGTTTAGTAGTTACGGCGTGAAAGTGGAACAAACAAACAAACTCACTTTCCGATTTATAATATTAGTAAGGATATCGCGGGTTACTCATGTGAATATACTGAGGAAAGCTCTACTAGTTTCTAAAGCGCGAGTAGCCCGCGATTTTAGTTAATTAGCTTAATTAATTAGCCCGCGATTAAGTATGTCTCACGATATTTTTTTTCTTTAAAAAAAACTTTGCCCCACACTAGGATTTTCTCCTGTATCGTGGGTGCGTTTACAAACATATAAGTTCACATACACATGACACCCAGACCCGGAACAACAATCTGTGGATTACACAAAGAGTGTAATCCACAGATTGATGTTGTTGCGATAATCAGATGCAGATTGTTGCGGGAATCGAACCCACGACACGTTGCGCGGCAGTGCCCAACCACCGCGCCAACCGTGCAGTCGATAGTTATTATAAAAATATTATATTATATTTTTTACTTTAATCTAAAAATAAAGTTGTATGCTATGTTTTTGTGCAAGCTTTTTATAAAAATAATAACTTTTTTTGTTACAACTTGTTATGTTATGTTCTAAATAAAAACATACAAACAAAAATAAGGAATTATTGTGTAATCACGTGTTTGTATCGACAAGCAGTTTAATTTCTATTTTTAAACACAATTTTAGCCGAAGGCTCTATAAAATATTATTGACTGAATAGTAATGATAAAGGAAGAGGAAACTATTTAGATTTGGTAAAAAAAATGATAATGTATGTGATATGATGAACCAAAACAAACTAAATGTGTTTAACTGTTTAAAGTAAAGTAAATATTGTACCTAACTATTAGTAGTAATACGGATACAAGTAACTCTTCGTTAAGGAACATAACATAACATCACACCTTATATCTCCGAAGGGGTAGACAGAGATGCACATTACGGCACTTAATGCTACTGTACAATGTAACACCCACTTTGCACTATTTATGTTATGAGTCCCATGTAATAGGATGAACCTATTACCATATACCGGGCACAATTCCAGGCTCCATGCTACTACTGAATATTTTTTTAAAATCCAGTAGTACTTTGCCCGACTCGGGAATCGAACCCGAGATCCCTTGCCAGTCAATCGCACTTGCGACCATTCGGCCAACGAAGCAGTCGTTAAAGAAATATGTCAAATTTAAATATTTTGACATTTCTATAACGACTAGGACAAAAGGACTAGGACTAGTACAAAAAAGGATATGGACTACCTTATACAAGAGAAAGGCGGGCAAACGTTAGAATATACTTAGGTAATTAGCTACTTACATTAACAGTAAACACATTCAAAGATCCAGTGGGATCACTCTTGCCAGAACTCACGAATCTGTTCCTGAACACATCAGCATCCTTCACGAGGATCCTGCGAGCTATCTCAGGACTGTTCACCACCAGGGCTGGTCGCCAGAACAGCCACATGCCGACGTAAGGAGCCTTGAAGTCGTTGTATACTCTTCGCATCCATATAGACTGAAAAATATGTAAATTGTTAGGTTTTTTATAGGTAAACTATTACTATAATGCTGAGTTATTGATCAGCTGGCCACAATCGTGGGTTAAAGCAACTGATCTAAGGTTCTATTGAAACCGGATTGTTTTTTCAATTTTATATTGTCGGGCTACGAAAAATTTATTTATTTTAAACGACGTTGCCCCACCCTAGGATTTTCTCCTGCGTCGTGGTTGCGTTTACAAACATACAATTTATTACACATGACACTCAGACCCAAAACAACAATTTGTGGATCACATAAAGAGTTGCTCCGTGCAAGAATCGAACCCGCTACACGTTGAGCGGCAGCCGGTTGCCCAGCCACCGCGCCAACCGTGCAGTCAAAATCGTAAACGTAACAAAAACTGCAGTTTAGAATTAGTCCTATGGCAATAAATTTGCTTTCTATTTTAAGGACTCATCTTATATCGTATATATTTGAAGCTGGAGCGTTTGTTTATTTGATTGTTTGTTTGTTTGTTTGTTCGAACGCGCTAATCTCCGAAACTACCAGTCCGATTTCAATAAATCTTTTTGTTTTGAATAGTGCATTTATCTAGGAAGGTTATATGCTACAAAACATTACGCTACGATCAATAAAAGCCGAGCAGATTGGGTACAACCGTGCGGAAGTAGCTAGTAATTATATATTTGTTAAATAATTACTTGTAAAATGAAGTACATATACCATAATTATAGTTTTTCCTAATGTTTAAACTTAGTTCGAGAAGTAAGCTTTGAAATAAATTACGTAAAATATGCCTATATAGAAATATTTTTTTCTATATTTAGTGGACCGACGTTTGACCACTATCTCGCCTGGTGGTAAGTGATGATGCGGTCTACGATAGAGCACGTCGTCCCATAAGCAACCTATTCATTCACATTTACTTTTCTCCAATACTACAGCAGTATATATTTTAAACCGCTTTTTACATTTTACACTTTAAATATTTTTCTGAAACTGGATTTATTTGCGTGAATTTAATCTCAAAAGCTATTTATATGTAAAAGTTATCAAGTTTCAATAGGAATTTATAGGAAAATCGAAGCGTACCTATTGAAATACATTTTAGTTTTATTTTTTTTTCAAAAATACAAATGAAATCTGTAGCTATTGTGTGTTTTATGAAAAAACTGTCTATAAAGAACCTTTTTTTTACGAATATAGCTGGTCATTTTAAGCTATGTTTTGTGAAAAATATACTTAGCTCTCCTCCCGTTTTATTAAACTCTTGTATTCTTTTATTTATTATACATATAGTTGTTGTGTTCACGACATATAGTTATTGTGTTGTTTCATAACATAACATAACATCACGCCTTTTTATCCCCGAAGGGGTAGGCAGAGGTGCACTTTTCGGCACTTAATGCCACTGTACAATGTAACACCCACTTTTCACTATTTATGTTATGAGTCCCATGTAATAGGGGGTGAGCCTATTTGTTTCATACTGTTCCGTTTATATGGCAACTACATACCTAATTATGTTGTCATAACATTTTACTTAAGCATTGGTAGACAGAAACAGATTTGTATTTTTTTTATTTGCAAAGTGACTTGATCTATCACACTAATATTATAAATGTGAATGTTTTTTTGTTTGGATGTTTCTCAGCCAATCACGCTAAAACTACTGAACGGATTTTGATATAATTTTAATTTGGTTTTTTTTTTTGGAATTTGGAACGCTTTATTTATCGTATTGAAATAGTTATTTCATAAAATATTTGTTTAGCGACAGTAAAACACGCGATTAATTACGAAAATATTTCATAATTTTATTTAGTTATATTGAAAACAAAATGAATAATTTTATACTAACGTGAAAATTACGAAGCTTTCGTAATTATTTAACGTGAATTTAATTTGTGTATAAAATATTTTTAATAAATAGGTGTTATAACATTAAGCTTTGTGAAATTGTGACATAAATATTTGCTGTAATTAAACTATAGGTGAAATTGTTAAATTTCACTATTCAAAACAGTTATATTTAAACTTTATACCGAGCTTAAATATTGTTTAATCTAATAGAAACCGAAAGACAATTATATATATATATGTTTAAATACTGAATTTTTTAGAATTATTTAGACACCACTGACAAACGGTGAAGGAAACATCGTGACACCAGGACTTCTAATTTCTAATTATAAGTTTGAAATCGCCAACCCGCATTGAGCAAGCGTGGTGATTATTGCTCAAACCTTCTCCGTGTGAGAAGAGGCTTTGCTCAGCAGTGGGCATTTAATGGCTGTTGATGATGATCATGAAATATTGGATGTTATATAATTATATGGATTAATTTTATATATATGCATTTATTCATATGACGCAGTTATAATGGTTTATGAATGCTAAAAATAATTAATAACAAAATATATACTTACAGGATTTTCCCTTTGCAAGAAGGTGAGGCTTCCCAAAATGGGATGTGGAGGATAATGGGGCACGCCCTTTTCTAACCAGTAACTTTTGACTTTTCGCCATTTATTCAACAGCCATAAACTGAAGAATAATACCACCATAAACAAGAGAATTGCGAACATGGTTGACAATTTTTTAACAATTCTTATATATATTTAGAATTTTATAATATATGTTTCTATATATATGTATATGGAAACTTGTTGGAAAACTGACTGAGTGTGAACTCCTTAACAAACATCTCGATACTGAGTGCTATTTATACCGGTTTCCTTACTTCGTTCTGTGATTATAACTAATGCCACCGCACGGTTTTACTCGTGTGATTTATTTAGCATAATTTTTAAGATAGCCAATATCGTTTATTTTTATTTGGTTTATTTAAATGGGATTTTTTATATGTTGTTATAATTCCAGGCATTGAAAATTGTATTTTTTGTATAGTTATTATTTTAAGAATATTTTTTAAATTCAATTGCGTATAAAAGCGACGATTCAAATAATAATTTAAAAAAGTAAAACGTCTAAGTAAAGAAGTTAATGCACTACATTATAATTTCCAAAGAAAATGAAAATTTTAACGATTTGTAAAATTACTTAGTAAGAGATCCATCTATCGATATCCTCCGACATTTATTTAGCGTTACATTTCTGTAAAAACTTGTAAGTAATTACTTTAATTTTTTCTTTAACTTCAACTCATTTTTGTTTATCCACAGATGCAATAAATAATAGAATAATATAAACAGAGACTATTATTAGCCAGAAATCAAAGATTGTCTTATTTATGGGCCCACAAGTGCAATCTTGATTTCTATTTCCGGGTCGGTCAAACTATTATTGGATTTCGAAATTCTCAGTACCTATTCAATATATCATCATCATCATCAACAGCCTATAAATGCCCACTGCTGAGCAAAGCCTATTCCCACACGGAAGGTTTGAGCATTAATCACCACGCTTGCTCAATGCGGGTTGGCGATTACAAACTAATAATTAGAAATTATAAGTCCAGGTTTCCTCACGATGTTTTCCTTCGCCGTTTGTCAGTGGTGTCTAGATAATTTTAGAAAGTACATATAACTCTGAAAAAGTCACATTGGTACTTGCCGTTGGTAGGTTTCGAACCCGCACCCTCATGCATGAGAAGCGGCCGTCTTAAACCTCCGGGTCCGGTCCACGACGATTTAAGATATAGGTATTTTTATAAATGTTTTGTATATCAATAAATATGTTAAGTGATATAAAATATATAGAAACAGTAAATTACATTCTCTATGCGAACAAATCCAGGTATTAAATATAGCTAGACTTCAAAACACACACGAATATCTGACCAACATACTTCAGACAAACAGATAAGGCGATAATTTCCTATATATATATATAACAACTTTAATATACCGCACTGATAAGAGGTTTAAACACATTAATAAGATAAGGAAAAATATGTTTTAATATGATTTGACAAAAATGGTAATGTAAACAGATAGTTTTATCATATATATGTCTGGTGCATGCCCAATTGTTCCACTCGCTCTTTGCAAGTGATGCTGGAAAGAATATAAAGTATTTTCTCCTATGATTTTTCTATGAGATCAGATTTCTATTTTGAAATTGATCATTAAAAACACCTTGAAATACCTATTGAGAAAGATGTCATATGTCATCACGCCTTTATATCTTGAAGGGACAGGTAGAGTTATAAATTATAATAAAAAAAATGACACAGGTATTTCTTATCAGTTATGAATTCCATGTTAGAATATTGAGGATATTTTTGAAGATTTTTAAATATAAAAAAATTAAAGATGTTGCGCTTGACGCGAGCATTGAACTCGATAATCCTTGGGTCGGCAATCATTTTTATGTCCCAGTTAATCAAATGAAGTGGTTTTAAGGAAAAAAAAATTCCCATAAATAATTTTCCCATACATTAGTATGAATAATTACATATAACATGATGCCTTTTATTCCCAAAGGGGTACGCAAAGGTGCACATTACGGCACTTAATCACATCTACAGCCTATAATGCCCACTGCTGCTTCTCACACGGAGAAGGTTTGAGCATTAATCACCACGCTTGCTCAATGCGGGTTGGCACGGCACTTAATGCCATTGTACAATGTAACTCCCACTTTTCACTATTTATGTTATTAGTCCCATGTAATAGGGGGTAAGCCTATTGCCATATACCGCACACAATGCCAGACTCCGTGCTACCACTGAGAATTTTTAAAAATCCAGTAATACTTTGCCTGACCCGGGAATCGAACCCGAGACCCCTTGATCGGCAGTCGCACTTGCGACCATTCGGCTATCGAGGCAGTCGTTAATAGTATGAGTAATTGTAATGCTAATACCTATAGTTGATACTCTTGCGCCATGCCATTTTCCAAGCCTAGCATATCGAGCTGGTGCTGCTGCTGCCAAGAACCTCAAACAGCATGCAGATATTTACACAACATGTAGATTTAAGTGTGGGAGAGCCATGAGGCTTGACCGGATTGATACCACGACCTCACGGAAAAATGGCGTGAAACAACGCTTGCGTTGAGTTTCGTTGTGTGAGTGAGGTTACCGGAGGCCCAACAATCCTCAAATTCCTAATGCCCAAAGGCCGGTAACGCACTTGTTCTCTGGTGTTCCGGGTGTCTATGGGCGACGCCGATTGCTTACCATCAGGTGATCCGTCTGCTCGCTTACCTGCTCATCCTATAAAAATAGATATATTTGATGATAGATAGAATTAAGTATATATTAGTTTTGAAATAATTTGAATATTATTTTTAGAAATACATTTTAATATTTAACGATAGGGTTGGTGTAGCGGCAGGACTGCCGGCGGCTGATTTGATATCTACATTTGTTAGTTAGGTCTTTTAAAGTTAATGCGTTTTATGTTGTGTTTTTCATACCTTATTTTTAGCATGTTTAGTGGATGCATTGTTTTAAATTCAATGAACAGTACCTATTACCTTCTTAAATATCAGTTTAAGTGAAGATATTAACTAAACCCACTCACTGTTTACCAGTAGCAATTAGCGTTCTATAGTTTCTATTACTTAGCCGTGAAGTTATGTATGTTCACCAGTCATGATACGGGTATATGATGCATCATGAGACGATCTATAGCTATCCATGGGTTCAATTTTAAACGCCTTGGTTATTATAACCTACTGAGATGTGGTCAGAAATCCATAACAATAGTACTAATTTAAGTAAAATCGCGGTTTACTCACTTGAATATACTGAGAAAAGCTCTACTAGTTTCGAACCACAGAGGGGTTCTTCTTCATGAGCAGCGTGAACGGTCTCTCATTTTGTAATCGTATCCTGGCGCCCTTGCCTGCGGGCACTCAACCAATTGTTTTTGTAGTTTCTCTTCCATTTTCATTGTTGTGTTTTGAGAGGAATTATTTTTTCCGCAGAACGCTCAGGTGAAGTATGAACACCGTGCCATGCCACAGTGTTCCCAAGGAACTGCAGCCTGGGCTTCTTTGGAAATCTTCAATTCAATTCCTCCGTGTGCAAGACACTTATTTTGTCTCTGGTGTTGCAGGTATAATGTACCTACCTACTATCGGCAAAGTTTACGGCAGTACATTTTTTATACAAAATACCGTAGCTAACTCACTGTTCACCGCTCTGTTTACCTTGTAATCGTTCGAGAGTATCGTCTAAAGATGGTCGATCGCTAACTTGGTTGACTTTATATAGGCTAGGTACAAGTAACCGGTACCGAGAACCTTCAGGCTGGACAGGCAGTCTTGTTAGCGACAAAACTTACAGAACCTATATTGGTTTAGACAAGAAATAGCTTGAAATTCCATCATGTATAAGTAGTACCTACATTAGTTATGTAATGACCATTAATTAATTAATTCGGTATGTCAAGTTAGTTACCTATACTATTTCGGAAATGTTGAACTTATTGATTTTAAATTATGAACTTAGTTACAGAATAACAATGAATACTGAATAGTTTACTTAGAGAATCGCGTTTCTTTTTTCTTTTTTTATGGCATAAGCCGGTAAACGAGCAGACGGATCACCTGATGGTAAGCAATCGGCGTCGCCCATGTACACTTGGAACACCAGAGGCGTTACAAGTGCGTTACCGGCCTTTTGGGGATTAGAAGTTTAAGGATCGTTGGGGATTCAGGGATTGGGGAGATTTGGGAAGGGGAGGGTAATTGAGCCTCCGGTAACCTCACTCATACGACACGTCACGTTCACGTCAGTTTTCTGTGAGGCCGTGGTATCACTCCGGTCGAGCCGGCCCATTCGTGCAGAAGCATGGCTCTCCCAAACTTAAAACTTCTACTATGACACGAACAAAATCCTGCCTAGGTCTATCATTCACATAGTGTTTCGTCATTTTCACTTCTTGAAGTGTAGTAAGTGATGTCATGTATCTGAGTGTAATAATCCATGGAGAATACGCAAAACCTTGGGGTTGGCTGGATTAATCGTCTGCTTCCCGTGATTCTGATGATATCACCTACCCAACGTGTTTATAATATTGGTAGAAAGCACTTTAATAAAACGCGATCTTATAGGCGAGCCTAAGTTGTAGTTACGATTCATCACATTTCACATTCTTATTGCGCAGTCTAATTCTGTTTTGATATAAGACATAGAGGTCCTTGTATGCTTTACCTGCATGGGGAAATCCATAAAATATTTCCTTCGTTTCGTTAAAAACTTTCCAGGCGTTAATACTAATTAGTTTACGTTTATAATTCACTCGTCCGGAACGAGATTGAAAAATCCTTTGCACGGTATATTAAAGAGAATATTAATTTAAATGGATTTGTGTTGATACTAAGGAAGTATCAAATTAAGTATCAATGAGTTTGTAAAAAATATTTTTTAAAAAGAGTAACGATAGAGTTTCTTCTTCGTTCTTCTCCACTCATAACTACACTTTGGAACGAGCGCCTAGCTTCACTCACAGATAGACGGACAGACTATTCAATTTTAACGTTACAAAAGTGCCTTATTAAAGATTAATAAAATGCCTGCTTTGACTTTGACAAGTATACTTATTGATATTAGAGACTTCTCTTCGACTCGTATTCTTCATTATGAAGAGTTGTGTTCACCGCTATTGAGCATCCCACCATGCCATTGTGAAGCGATCGCGATGGGTCTCTGTTTTCTCAGTCGTGTTTTTCTCTGTACCGTGAATTAGATAAAATAAACGTAATTGAAATTAACATAAGATTTAGTTTCTAACGCGACTGTTTACTTGTACCTTCGACCAAAGTACATACAAGTGGCGGATAGATCAACTTTCTCTAATCTGTCAAATTTAGTAATTGCATTTTCGACTTTAGGTCAATATACTAAGTTGAAGATGTAATAAAAGATAGATTGATCTCTGAGTTAAGCAAAATATTAGTCATACAATTAATCTATGTATTGTAGATATTTTGGTCATGAAAGTTTCTATTAGAAATAGTTGAAGATTGTATATCGAAGAAGCTGTGATTGCCCTACATTAAAATGGAATTAATGTACTTATATCATGACAATTCTAGGTACAACTAGTCGAAAGCTTGATACTTGAGCGCCAACTTATTGGTTCAGTCCTTGTATCATACCAAGGTAATTAGATTTATTTTTTTTTTATTTTTTATTTACACTTCTTGCACAATGGCGGACTTAATGCCTAGTGGCATTCTCTTACAGTCAACTTTAGGGTGATGCAGAGAGACACAATAGTAGGTATAAAAGTTTAATTACAGACATAGAGTCTCAAATTGAACATCCTGTTTTATCGTATGTCTAGTTGGGGTCCTCTATAATCACAACTTTATTAATCAATTCTCTAGTAAAAAAAAGGGTGTGTCACACCCTCGTACGAGAATTAAAACACAAGAAATATTGCCACGTAATGTAAATACTAAATAAAACACACGTGCTTCTGTTTTCATACAAACTCAGCGATATGTCAACATTAATTCATTCGTACCGAAGAAGTACGATTAGAATTACTACCAGTTGCCAAGAGGTTGAGTAAACAAAGTCGTTGCGAACTAGATAATGGCGATATCTACGTACTAAATACGTAGTATTGTCATATCATTGAATGTCATGTCATAGGATTGTGACTGTTTTATAAAAATCGCTTAGTAATTGTTTTTTTACGTAATTTTCGTTGTACTTCGAGTTGCTGTTCGTGCACCATTTCTTGTCGAGCGCTAAGTGAAGGAAGAAGTAAAAATAAATGGTAAGCTGGTTTGTATATTTCAGTTTTTTTATTATAACTCTAGGCTGTATGTGTTTCTTGTACGATTTTACTATGTGAATGTTTGCTACGCTATTGGTTCGTGGTGGTCTTGTTGGGTGATCGGGAAGTTTGATGTTTGATGATGGGTAACGAGAAAGACCTCTGAGTTTGTTTCGGCATTTCTTCTCAGAGTAGTCAGTTAGGAAATGTCGCCCTCATCGTTTGCTTGATAAAATTGACGTGTTAAAGTGCTGCCTTGCAGCCTATTTGCAGAAATAAATTCACTTGTTTCACTTGTTTGGTCTTTGGGCTAGGATTATGTTCGGCGGTAAATACGTCTTGTGTGGTGGCTGATGTGATGATGCGTTGTTTAAGGTTCGTTAGTTCTTGGTCTTTTCATATTCATAGTTTGTTGGTGAATTTCTTCTCACTTGTATGCAGTGTCTTGTAAATAAATATAGGGCTTAGTTTTACCGGGACACCATGGTAACCAGCCGCCGCCACCAATAAAACTTGTAAAGTGGTTGCGTAACCAATAGGACACCAGGCGAGTAACTCTCTATAGAGTTGTCTACATTTTATCGGTAGCGGCCACTGGTTACGCTTCCATGGTGTCCCGATAAAATAATGGTTTTATAGGTCGTCTTCGTAGAAGGATATTTTTATATCGTTCCTTAAACTTTATACCATTTCATTTGGCCTGCGGAAGGCGAGCATGGGTGGTTCCCCGTCCGACCAGAAACAGACCCGAGCGTACGGCGCGTCGTTTCCGCGCGCGCCTCAAAGAGCCATCAGACCACCACAGATGGGGCCCAATAGGGCCGATGCCGATTCGGAGTCGTGGAGAACCAAACGGGTAACCGGGGCTCCGGCTCGACGTGCAGGAGAAGGAACGGGGTGGTTTTTAGTCAGTAATAGTCTGACACTCCCTCCCGCCTCACCCAGGCGGGAGCAGTCATTCGATGATTATCCCCCTTAAAAAAAAATACCATTTCATTTTTATAGTTTGCAATCATATTTTGGTATCTATCACCTTTTCTTTACTGTTTATCTACTTCATTTGTTATCTGTCGGTTGTTGTCTCTTTTGTTTTGATCAGGCGTTGCATCAACTACACAGTTCTTATAGCCTGGTTGATAATTTTGGTTCTGAATCGATTCTATCAATTTATTAAGGACAAGTCGGACATTGTTTTTGTTTTGTTTCCATTTGTCAGACATTATATTGGGGCCATTATTGTTCAAAAAAGCGAATCAAACTATTTAAGTACTAAGTTTTATAATAGAGGATTACTTAATAATAATTATTATTGTGCTGGGACCGGTCTATCATTACTGACAGAACTATTGTAGCCAATAAACTTACGTACAGCGTAACTTGACGGTCGTACTTGACGTCGTGGTCGTATCTGACATAGTAGTGATAGACCGTCAAGTACGCCGCACGATGATAAATAATCGATGTCACCATTCCCCATGACGAGAACCTCGTGAAAGCTGAGAAAGATAAGCAAATGAAATATCTAGACTTAGCTCACGAGGTTGTCGACATGTGGAGTGTGGACTCGGCTATCATTGTGCCAATAGTCGTGTCGGCTAATGGGTTAATCCCTAAAAGCCTCGACATCCATCTCAGGAGGCTGGCGTTAGGTGGATGGATCAAGGGCCTAATACAGAAGGCAGTTCTCCTAGAAACGGCACGTATCGTGAGGAGGTTTCTGTCTCTGGAGCCCTAACCACCGGTAGCTTGGACCATGCTCCCGCTACTGGTTGGCTCCTATTTTTTATATTTTTAAATATTATTGTTTTATTTTGTAAGTAGTATTTAAAAGTGTAATTTATAGAGAATGTTAAATAAATATATGGAAATTATTATTTACGACTTTTTCAGTGTTGTAAATTCATAAAACGTTGCTGTATTTTTTACAATAAATATATTTACTTTTAATAAGTTTGCAAAACTTTTCAGACTTGAGTATTGATACGTAAAAATGAATACTTATTTATTATTTATTAAGAACTCATTTTTCATATAACTACTTACATTGCAGCGCTGATGGTATCTCGAGTTTCTTGAACCATGGCGGACATTTTTATTTATAGTTTATCTTTATCAATCAATTTATTTGTATTTGTATTTTATTTTTGAAGTAGTTTGTGTTTTTGGTTATAGTGGGATTTAAGAAATGCTTTTAAAAATATTGGTATGTTTAAGTCCTATTATTGTGTATGAGTGTATGATATATAGTATTATTGAGTATGGAAGTCATTGGGGAGGCTTTAACGCAAAAGTGGGAGTACACTACATATTAGCGGCGAATCGGTAATGGGACCGCATGGGTTTCATGCTCGTCAACTTCCTGGAGAAGTATGGGCTATTCTTAATGAACTCGTTCTTTAAGAAGCAGCCTCAACGGAAGTGGACGTTGCGAAGCCCCGGCTCTCTCACACATTATTAAAATACTTCAACAACTTTGTTTAAAAAGAAACGTTTTCGTTACCCATTTCATAAAGTAAGTAATGTCAATTTCGTAATTCCCAGTATCAATACAAATTGCGTTGTTATCAAACCGCTATTATAACTAAGTGGTTGCAATAAAAAAGATAAGAAACAAAAAATACAACTTTATTTCTTGTTATTTAAAAGCATTTAACATCATATTTATGTACGGGTAAAGGGAACAAATTAATTTTCAATATTATCAAATACTTTACACGAATTTTGGCCATTTTGATACAAACATTAACAATATTGTTCGGTAATTGTTAAAAAAGGTAATATTATGTTTCGACGCTAAAGGTAAACTCGTTGTTTTATAACAGTTTCATTTGAAAATTGATATTAGGTGGTTAAGTAGTTATTGATTCATTGACACCAACTAACTTTTGGTCGGACCATATTAACAATTATCTGGCATTGTAGGTAATAGGTATATAGGTAATTTCAATATTTAATATCTGTGATTTTTTCGTTTATTTTTGTTTAGAGTCGAAAGGAGGACAGTATATTACAATGTGTAATTTTGAAACCGTGACATTTCTCGGTGGCATGTCACAGAAGTCATAAAGGTTCAATGTAAGAGATAGTTTCGGGCCAATTGTTAAAAATACGGCTATAATAAATCGTCTAAGTTCGACAGTATTTCAGAATAAGCGACAGCAATGTTTCTTATGGGAGTTTTATGGAATTAGGAATAATATCAATTACGTGTTTGAGGTTGTATGTGTTAAGCCGCGTTATAAAGCTAGTTACAAGACGGCGGCGTATAGTTCGCACTTAAAAAAATGAAAAATATTTATCTACAATATTTTTAATTGATTCGGACTCAGAATCGATAGCCGAGTTACTTCTTAGAAAATGACGCGGCTTTAAAGCGACACCTTGTATTTACAAAATATTTGTTTATTATCTAATACTTGATTGTACAATTGAAAAGTAAGGCCACTGTCCACGTTGGGACTTATAGATTTGAGGAATAGATACATTCGTCGAAATCGATAGGAGGATTAAACGTTGCTGTTACATGAACAGTTTTCATTATGTCTAAGCAAGATGCTAGCATTATTCCTTTGTAAGCCACCTTTTGTTTATGAAGGATACATACATTCGTCAAATGACGAAATGACCCTTACTTTAAATCTGTAACAAATGATTGGCTTGGGGATTAAGGATTTGGAATGGGTGATTGGGAATTGGGGATTGGGAATTGGGGATTGGGGATTAGGGATTGGAGATTGGGGATTGGGGATTGGGGATTGGGATTGGGGACGGGGACACACGGACGGATTGGGAGCATTTATAGGTGTAAGTTCTTAGCAAAGATTGTGTTTATTTATTTCCTTCTTTTAAATTCTACAGAGAGTGGTATAGCAGGATGATAGAACAGTCCTTTCTTCTCTATCGGGATGTCGTTGGGCAGCGGGAACTGGTCCAATGGAAGGATTTCAAAGTTGAGTACCACAGCCGCTAACGCGTACCTTACTGTGTTCATTCCTATGCGTTTACCTGTAAATTAATGAAAAAATTAAATTAATAACAACATCATCACGCCTTTTATCCCCGAAGAGGTAAGCAGAGGTGCACATTATACCACTGTACAATGTAACACCCATTTTTCACTATTTATGTTATGAGTCCCATGTAATAGGGGGTGAGCCTATTGCCATATACCGGGCACAATTCAAGGCTCCGTGCTACTACTGAGAATTAAGTAAAATCGCGGGTTACTCACGTGAATATACTGAGAAAAGCTCTACTAGTTTCGAACCACAGAGGGGTTCTTCCTCATGAGCAGTGTGCGCGGCCGCGGCGACGTCGCGCAGGTCACTGGCTGGCGTTGGCAATCGATGCGAACCCCTCTGTGGTTCGAAACTAGTAGAGCTTTTCTTAGTATATTCACGTGAGTAACCCGCGATTTTACTTAATTTAGTATGTCTCACGATAGTTATTATAAAAACTACTGAGAATATTTAAAAACCCAGTAATACTTTGCCCGACCCGGGAATCGAACCCGAGACCCCTTGCCCGGCACTTACGACCACTCGGCCAACGAGGCAGTCGCAGTTAATAAAATTAATATTTGTTTGAAAACTGTTTGTCTTGTATAAGCGACTATCGTAATCTGGGGTAAGTAAGATAAGCGTGAAGATAAGAGATAAGATTTTTAGTTAGGTTAAAGTATGGTGGATTCTTTTGCATTTTATGGCTTTACTCAGTAGAATGGAGTCTGATATTATGATCCATTAATATTCACGTAAGCTTTTGACTCTCGATAGAAAAGTCCGGAAGGTTTCAATTATGTGACTCATAATATGATAATACCATGGTATATATGTTGATTCACTTGCTAATTCTATCTCAAATATATTCTATCTATTCATTATTACTTCTAATACTGACTGTCTTCTCGCTATCTCTGTGCTGTGCTTATTTATGTGCTTGTGACTTTCCTACTGTGCCTTCTGTACTACACGTGTGCCGGATCCATCGAATAAACTTGGTATCACGTGAGTCGAACTTTTATTTACACCACGAAATACCTGACACCATCTGACTACTCATCTAACAACAGTAAAAAAAATACAGTTTATTTATTGATGTAAAAATCAAACGACCAAAGACCTGTACACAAGCATAAGTCAATTAAATCGACAGATTAATTCACTCATTGTCTTTCCCCGCAACATGATAAAACACAAATTAATAACACAATAGACCAAGGTTCCTAATTAAACGATCATTAATGTTATTCTCAATCATTTTCAGCAACCCGGAACCCTTCACCAAAGGGCCTAGTGCGAGTTATTTTGATCGAAGTGTCACTGCTTTCAGCCCTCTGATTGGTTACTTAGTTGGGGTAGACCAATCAGAGCGCCGAACGTCATTAACGTGTTGGTCAGGTTAAAGTAAAGCAAATTCGTAATAGGGCCTCAGGTCCTGTCAAATAATGACTAGTGATCCCTTCAATCTGACAATTTGTCAACAATTAATGATCGGTTTTAATTATCAATTAGTGAATTGAATTAACTCTGTCGATGTTTGGGTAGTCACTTGTGACGTATATTTGTTAGTGATTGATAACTTTATTTTGTTTATTTGTGTGTTGGAATTATTGTAAATAGATTATTAAGGTGAATGGACTTTCAGTGTGTTGATCTGTTTTTTAGAGTTGCTATTGGATTTGTTTAATTTAGTATCCACTATTTTTATTTTATTTTATTTTTATATTTTGATAAATACGTGGAAAGCTCTGTTAATGTTAATTTTTCTTTGTAATATAACGCAAAATCCGCTGCATTTGTTAAGTATAAATCGTATTGAAAGCTATAAAATAATTCATATTTATAAGTAATAATAAATTACATTACATTACAATACATAAAACAATAATTAGCAATAGCTTTTATAAGAATTAAATATTTAATACAGAGATGTAATATACCCATAGGTAAACATAGCGCTATAGGACCAAAATATTTCCTTAAAGTTGCAAGGGAAAGAATGTAAATAATTATGTTCCTGCCAAGCCTATCTGACAAAAACAAGGATGATGTTGTTTATTGTTTTCAAGTTCTATTGTGAGAAAACCAAGTTTATTTTGGATAACTCCCGACAATACTTGGAATACTGTGATGGTTGTATTTATTATTCCTCAATTAATTTTTGGCATTCGGTTATTTGATACTTCTTGTAGCACCGACCAATCTACTTAATTAGCTGTCAGTCTATTAATAATATAATATTCCTTGTTGATAATAATCAAATAAATATTAACCAAGGTGGTAAGACAATAGAGTTGAGTTTTATTTACTTTACCATATCTTACATTTTATTCTTTTGTTTTTTAACCTTCTCACCAGCATTCTAAACTACTAGTTAAATACGTAAGATAATGTACAACTCTGTCTAACCACTCTAAGATTAGGAAATGTTATTACGCTTTGCTATAGGTATTTCCATTCTTCTATTTTTTTAGCCATTACAACTGTCTTTGTTTTTTGAGGGAGGAAAATCATTATCTTCCGCGGCTTCGTAGCCATTACAACTGTCTGGAGTAACTAAACTGACCGTGGCTCCTGAAAAATTCATTGCATGGACACTCTCTTCCCTATAAAAAGATAGAAGTTCAGATGAAAGTCTCTGAACAGAGGCTCTTTATAACTCGGACCCAGTGGCATTATGTCGGCTTGGCACACTAGTTACACCACTGGTAGCAGTCTTATACGAAAAAATTACAAAATTACTTACCAATGCACATTCTCGGTCCTTCTCCGAAAGGTATGTAAGAATAAGGTACGATATTATTCGCATTTTCAGGCAAAAATCGATCAGGTCTGAACTCCTCAGGGTTGGGGAAGTACTTGGGGTCATAGTGCAGGCCGATGGCGTTGACGTAGACCACTGTGTTGGCTGGTATGGTCAGGTTCTCGTCGACCTGGTAGTCTCTTAAAGCTTTGCGGTCCAACCATCCCATAATGGGGTATTTTCGCAGGGATTCTGAAATAGGTTTTATGTTTAAATTACTAAGAGAGTAATGGTAGAAAAGGTTTAAGTTAGTGGAGTGGTCCGAAGTTACTTAAGACAACAATGAGAATTGCAAAGTACACATAATTAACTTTCAATATAACAAACAAAATGGTTTTTATAAAAAAATGCTTATCACTACAAATACTTTAGTATTGATTTTTAAAGGAATACGTATCTAAATAATGACTTTCCTGTCAGACCTTTGGTAATTTTGACATTTTTTCTTAGAAAACCATACTATCACTACATAACATAAAACAAAGTCGCTATCCACCGTCTGTATGCCCCTATGTATGCTTAGATCTTTAAAACTACGCAACGGATTTTGATGCGGTTTTTTTTAATAGATAGTGTGATTCTTAGGGAAGTTTTATATGCATAATACATGCACATTGCACCCGTGCGAAGCCGGGGCGGGTCGCTAGTATAGTATATATTAAGTAAGTAATTTAAAAATTTTGCCACTCATGACTACAGAATCTTTCACTATACCAACCTACTAGCGGTACTAGGACCGACAAGATCTTACTAAGATAGTGAACTTACCTTTGATGACAGCCTCCAAGTACGGCAGCTTAGCGAGACTCTCCGCGTCAAATGGTTTCCCGTTCAGTGCCTTCTCCGCTTCCACTAGCTCGTCATATAATATTTTCTAGAAATAAAATATGAAATAATACAGTTACTACATTCAAACTTCAACATTATACATTTTTTTATTGGAAATGTTCAGGCGCTTAGCTGCTATTTGGACCTCTGTGTTTGTTTCGGCATTTTTTCTCAGAGTAGGAAGGAAATGTCGGCCTAGTTGTTCGCTTGAAAAATTGACGTGTAAAAGTGTTAAATTGTAGCCTAATTGTAGAAATAAATTTGTTACGATGGAGCACGCCTGCCCATAATACTTTGCCCGACTCGGTAATCGAACCCGAGACCCTATGCCCGGCAATTGCACTTGCGACCACTCGGCCAACGAGGCAGTAAATTGTAATTATGTATAAGTTTGAACTCGCCATCCGGCATTGAGCAAGCGTGGCCATCAAGCTCAAACCTTTTCCGGGTGAGAAGAGACCTTTGGTCAGCAGTAGCCACTTATAGGCTGTTGATATATGGGTGTGTGATTCACACCTCGAAGGACACAGTTATAAGCCAGTACAGTAATAAGATTACAGAGAGTATATTTAACCACTAGCTTTCACCCGCGGCTTTGCTCGCGTCACAAAAGGATAAAAAGTGGCTACTTTACGGCTATAGGCTTATCAGTATCAATACACACAGCGCCATCTATACCAATACTTTTGTTTTCCCTCTGGAATATCAAAATTTTTCCGTGATAAAAAGTACCCTATTATTTAATCCAGACTTCTAACTTTACGTCTGCAAAAATTCAAAGCAATCGGTTTAGTAGTTACGGCGCCAAAGCGGAACAAACAAACAAACAAACAAACTCACTTTCCGATTTATAATATTATATATATATACTAGCTTTTACCCGCGGCTTCGCTCGCGTCACAAAAGAATAAAAAGTAGCCTATGTGACATATATCAATACACACAGCGCCATCTATACCAATACTTTGGTTTTCCCTCGCACATATTAAATTTTCCGGGATAAAAAGTACCCTATTATTTAATCCAGACTTCTAACTTTACGTCTGCAAAAATTCAAAGCAATCGGTTTAGTAGTTACGGCGTCAAAGCGGAACAAACAAACAAACAAACAAACTCACTTTCCGATTTATAATATTATATATATATATATATAATATATATAGTAAGGATAATAATTAATTTTACCTGGTATTTAGGGTGGTAGGCAAGTTCATAGACTGTGTATGTGAGGGCTGTGGAGGAGGTGTCGTACCCTCCTTGAAGGAAGATCATTGCGTTTGAAATCAAAATGTCCAAGTCCATATCTGAAAGTAAAAGATACCATTCGCCTTAAGAGACACGATTTGTTTTTGGAGAAAAAAGTAAATGGATAGATTCAATAATTAAGACTTTGACTGCCAATAAAAAACTGTTGAAGGTAAATCCTCCGCTAGGGCCGGTCACCGGTGACCCCCATGGCGTTTAACGTGTTAACCGACTTCAAAAAAAGGAAGAGGTTCTCCCTCTCTTTGACATGCATGTATGGATTTTGATGCGGTTTTCAATGAAGTGATTGTCACTGTTCGGAGAAGGTTTTTAGTACTTATATATTAAAAGAGCTTATTAATATATATTAATAAGCTCTTTTCCATAGAAAAAGAAGGTTGAAGTCTGTGTTCTTAAGCGTAGTTCATAAAATATTATACTAATATATAATTAACATAACATACATAATATAACATCACGCCTTTTATCCCCGAAGGTGTTGGCGGAGGTGCACATTATGCCACTGTACAATGTAACACCCACTTTTCACTATGTATGTTATGAGTCCCATGTAATAGGGTGTGAGCCAATTGTCATATACCGGGCACAATTCCTGAGCTACTGCTGAGAATATTTGAAAAACCCAGTAGTATTTTGCCCGACCCGGGAATTGAACCCGAGACCCCTTGCACGGCAGTCGCACTTGCGACCACTCGGCCAACGAGACAGTCAGTATTGGACATGTTGTGGCTATATGATGAGAATAAGATAGTGTGTGTCGCTAAGTACCTTGATTTTCCTTCTTAGCGTCTATCTTCAACTTCAGCAGCGCATCCAGCAAGTCCCTCTTCCCATCTATGTCCTTCTCAAACCCTCCCCTTTCCTCCACCATTGCTTTGAAGACCTTTCTAAAGTATGATACTGTATTCTTTGGCCAGAATGAAAACCTGGAATTGAGTTAGAAGTACTTTAGAGTCTTAAATATTTAGGGACGTCTACACACATATTGATATAATATTATATGGTAAAAGATATTCTTTAAATTGTCATCTATGAACCAATAATGACGCCTGCCACAAATAATGTTGAAAAAATTGTCTAATATTTAATTCTCCGGTGAGGTTGGACTGGACCGATTTTGATGAAATTTTTTGTGTGTGTGTGTGTGTGGGTTTTTTTTAAGGGGGGAAAATCATCGAATGACTGCTCCCGCCTGGGTGAGGCGGAAGGACTCTTACTGATTAAAAACCACCCCGTTCCTTCTCCTGCACGTCGAGCCGGAGCCCCGGTTACCCGTTAGGTTCTCCGCGACTTTGTGTGTGTATTAAGGGGATCTGGGAATGGTTTACATTCACAAATCAGCCCGGCAGATGGCTCTGCACTCGGTATCTAGGTTATTTATTACCTATTATTACATTATATGCAGGACAACGTCTGTCGGGTCCGCTAGTATTGAATAAGGTTTCCACATTCGAAAGATGTCGGTTAGTTCGCAATCATTATTAGTGATTACTATATTTGCACGCCATCGTATACAAACATGTCTCGAACTTTTTTCACTGCTACCCGCTATCTTACATGCTATTGTTTATTGTATGTACACAATGTGTTTGAGCAAATAAACATGATGTGAGTTGAAAAACTCATCTCTGCATCACCCAAAGGTCAGACTGGTAGAAAATGCCTGCGGCATTAAGTCCACCTATTTGTGCATTTTGTGCATGAAGCATATTAAATAAAATAAATAAATAAAATGTTGAAAAAAAAACATAACATAGTATCACGCCTTTTATCCCCGAAGGGTTAGGTAGAGGTGCACATTACGGCACTTAATGCCACTGTACAATGTAACACTTTTCACTGTTCATGTTATGAGTCCCGATATGATAAGGGGTGAGCCTATTGCCATATAACAGGCGTAATTCCAGATTCCGTGTTACTACTGATTTTTTTTAAACCCAGTAATACTTTGCCGGACCCGGGAATCGAGCCTGAAACCCCTTTGCTCGACAGTCCCACTAGTGACCGCTCGGCCAACGAGGCAGTATTAAAAAAATCTAACAAAATATTTTCTCATTGCTTAAAGTATTTACCTTAATATATCAACCATTTCTGGTAGAAAGAATATGGAAGACCAAGCCATGCCTCTCCACTGGCTGTACTTCTCGAACTCCTTGGTCATCAACCGCAGTGGGCCAGTGGAGTTCCTCGTGGATTGGCACTGGATACCAAATGATGATTCACCGATGATGTCTGTCGCGTAATCAGCGAATAAGGGCTGAAAATGAAAACCATTGGAATTTAACTCGTTGAGTACCGTCATTATAGACACAATTAAAGAACAATAGGTTGCGGTCACCGGTGTCCTCGTGGTGTTTGACAGTTTAATAAAAGTCTGTATTAAATAAAATATACAGAAAAAGAGTAATGTTATAGTAGTATTTTAAAACGCCTGCTTGATAAGTGTTTGCAAGAAGATGCACTTAGTATGTTCCATAACTCTCCTTTACGCAGTCTAAACAAATTACATGTATAAATATTTTGTATCACACAACTAAGTGCTGCACGCAAAGAAGTCCGTGACGTACCTATAATATAATAATAACATCATACACATAAACATAACATCACGCCTTTTATTCCCGAAGGGGTAGGCAGAGGTGCACATTACGGCACTTAATGCCACTGTACAATGTAACACCCACTTTTCAGTACACCACCACACCACCACATACCGGGCACATTTCCAGACTCCGTGCTACTACTGAGGTTATTTCAAACCTAGTAATACTTTGCCCGACCCGGGAATTGAACCCGAGACCCCTTGCGCGGTAGTCGCACTTGCGACCACTCGGCCAATGAGGCAATCAAAATAATAACCTATACATAATTATAATAAAACCGTAGGAAAATGAAAACTGTACATTCAATATTTTTGTAGGTAAAGAATGCCTTGAGGCGCGATTTACAATAGCTATCGAAGCTAAAAATATGGTTTTTAGAATTCTTGTCTGTTTGTCTGTATGTACGCCCGGGCTAAACTCAAAATAAATAAATACTGCACGGATTTACTTCAAATTTTGCATGAATATTACTAACAGGTCTTATCACAGTATCACCTACGGAGGAGGAGTTGTCAATCACTATTCCACGCGGATGAAGTGGCAGGCACAGCTAGTTTATTATAAAATCACCACCATGAAGTTAAAATAATTATCCAAAAATACACTTTACCCTCAATTCATTGATGATCCCCTTTTCATTGTCTGAGTTGATCCTGTAGATCAAATCTTCCACCTTAGACTGGTACAGCTCCTGCCAACCTCGGAGCTTGGAACCAGTGAACACCGACGTTAGGCGTCTGCGGAGCGATGTCCATAATGGATCCTGGAAGAGTGGAAGATATTTTCAGGAACAAAAAATACTCACCTTACCTTGTATTTATATTTATGAAATGTGCAAATTTGTTCGTAAATATCCTGAATTCTATTTCACTAGAGAACACACACAATGTAATTTCACCCTGAGACATAGAAAAAGACTAAATCTACCAACATCACGATTGAAAATACACTCTTCTGGACCTCTAGTCATGTCAATAAAAATTTATAATAAGTTACCTCAAGAAATAAAAAATGAAGATAAATACAATAGATTTATGATGAAATTAAAACAGTTTCTACTAAATAAGGCCTATTACAGTATTGAAGAGTATTTTAAAGAAAGATTATAACAAACACACATTTATAGGAGCACACAAGTAATGTGTCTAAAGACATACAGTACTGTGTCTACAGACCACAAGTACACAAGTACGGATGATTTATTTAGTTAATTTAGATTATTTGAATTTTTAATGTTCATTAAATTCATCGAAAGCATAAATTTTGACTACTGTCATTTTGAGTTGACATATTATTTTTGTGTACTTACTTTGTTTTGATTGATTCAATTTGAATTTGATTTTGATTATTTTGAGTTTATATTGATTGTTTTAATTTGATTTTGATTGTTAGAGTTGAATTTGATTGTTTTAATTTGATTTTATATTAATTCGATTTTGATTTTTTTAATTTGATTTTAATTAATTTTTTATGACCTCTGTTATTTTATTTCTTATTGTAACTATTTCTTTGACCTTATTAATTAATTTAAACACGATTATATGTTAAATTTTATGTGATATTTAATGATAAATGTCAACTTAATTTTAAAGAAATGTTAACTTCATTTATCAAACGTTGCTGTGCCCTTACGGGGTCCATAAATGTATCTTAGCTTTAAGCGTATTGTAACACCTCATTCACATTATGGTATGCAAATAAATGAATATGAATATGAATATGATATATATTTTTTAATTGTTTCCATTGAATCTTTGATACAAATGAAGAGGTTTTGGTATATGCAGTACTTCTGAGTTTTTTTTATAAATGAGATATTCTAAACCTTATTAATACGTATTATAAGGCAATAACATTTTTCATACAAGGTCAAAAAACAATAGAGATGGTGACAGGGTATGAAAATTAAAAATGTAATCCGTCAGTTAGGTAATGAAAAAATATTAGACACGTATTTTATTATTTTGTTGTTTAGTAAAATGATCAAAGTCGAGTTAAAACGTCATTTTTACGTATAAAATGTACATAGAAGTGACGTCACACGACATTTCAAATCAATATATGGTCGAAAGTATTCGTTTTTGTAAAAAAATAAAAAATATGTGTGTAATACTTATTTTAAAATAATCTACGAGACGGACATTAAAATAAAAATTAGTCATCTACCCTATTACAAGCAATGCAAATAAACTATCTAATACTCACATCAACAGTAAACAAATTGAGGGCACCCATCGGGTCGGACTTGCCAGAAGCCAGCATTCTGTTCCTGAAGATATCAGCATCCTTCACGAGGATCTTGCGTGACAGGTCAGGATCATTGATGACTAGGCCACGGCGCCAGAATATCCAGATGCCTACGTATGGAGACGACCTGTGTTTCTGGTAGAGTTCCATCATCCATGTACCCTGGAAGGTTTAAGGTTTATATGATTACTGTTTATGCTTGAATGATTACATGCTTGAGTGTGCAGATCTTGATCTGCACTCCTTGGAGTAGTGGCGCTTTGTAGTGTTTATAACCATGGTACAAAGGTAAAGGGTTTTATGGGTGTATTGTATGTTTTTCCCTTTAATTGGGTACCTTAAGAAACTAGCATACTAAGCATAATACAAATTTTAAAGTTTGTTGTTTCGTTGAACAGTATCAGTCAGTATCTTACAAATCAGTATTTTACAGAGGTTATGCCAATACAATATAAGTTATTCAGTCAATTTCTCCTGATGACGATGATAATAATGGTTACAACGTATTTAACTATGTATTACAACTGCATAGTTTGTAGAATGTACCTATATATTGTGATATTGTTATCCTGACTTTTAACAGAGTGTTGTTGCGAAGATAAATGATGTCATAGATACTGACAGAGACGAATCTGTTGCAGGCAATACAATATTTGCAACAGGAAAATGAATACAAAATCTGTATATACCTAAATAAAAATGAATTTCCGTTTGTTATTCTCGGTAAAACTTGAGTACGGCTGAACCGATTTTGGATAATTTTGGCCTTGAAATGTTCGTGGAAGGCTGGGAAAGGTTTAAAAGGTGAAAAAAATATTTTAGGCGATACGAAGTTTGCCAGGTCAACTAGTCTACGCTTACTCTACGGGTTTTTCGAACTATTTAGTGCTAGATTTTTGCATTTTTATTTAGGTCAATAACTGCAATTCTTAATATCAAATAGTCCATGGCTAGACCACAGATCTCATCTGTCTACCCAGGTTTTGCTATAATCTGGACGCTTGGTAGTTAGGTTGTAGATTGTATTTTATAAGGTACTTAGCTTTTGCCAGTGGGTTCGCTCGCGTTCTCGTGGGTTTAAAAGCGGCCTATGTGTTAATCCAGACCATGATGTACCCCTGTCCCAAATATCATCTGGATCCCTTCAGCCGTTTTGATGTGAAAGAGTAACAAACACACACACACACACATAAAAACATCCTAACAAACTTTCGCGTTTATAATGTTAGTAGGTTTAATTCTAATGTAGACAATGTAGACAATCTAGTTTCCTTATGGCATCGAGCATTTCTTTATTGAAACAAAGAGTTTCCTTTTCTTGTATAGAAGCACTAATACTATGGATTGTCAGTATACATATGTGACCACCATGTTGGACTTCAAGATTTTTATTTTATGTTTTTAATTTTAGTAAGTTATTAGTATAATGCGTCAAGCATGTCTTTGCATTGTTCTTACATATGCGTACAGTATTGAAATATGTATCAGAGACATTGTAGAACATACTTTTTTAAAAAGAGTAACGAATGGAGTTTCTTGCTCGTTCTTCTCCATTCGAATCTACTTTTTGGAATGAGCACCTAGCTTCACCTAGTTTCACTGACGGACTGACTAACAGACTATTATTTCTTTTGTATTTGTTGACGTTTCAAAAGTACCAAACTATGGTTTAATTGAAATAAATGCTTTGACTTTGACTTTGACTTTGACTTTGATAGGTTTAGTGGGGAATTCTGCTGCCCGGGCTCAACCCTACGATCAGGATGTGTCTATGCTACTATCTATCTACCCATATAACCAAAATTGTCTGAAGATAACTTCAGAAAATGTGTGTGGCGTCGCGTCGCGTCGTCCGTTGCTGTGTTTTTTTAACTGTTGATAAAACTTAGTTAAATTGTTTTGTTTATGTTTAAAGGTTAACTGACATGTCAAGATATTGAACATATTTAAGTATACATGTTTCAGTTTAGATTTACTGGTTTTAACTGCTATTGTATTCAGTTTAATATTGGTGATAGTAGCTACTTAGATATTTAGAACCTATACATTAAGGATGAATGCCGACATCTAAGTAAATTTATTACAATGGTTTACATTTAAAATAAATAGCTATGCTTGCGACTTTGTCCGCGTGGAATAGTGACCTTGGTAATTCTTCACAGCTCCTTCCTCGTAGTAATATGTAGCCTATATATTGACCTATATTGACCAAATGTATTGCAATAATATTACTAAGATAGTAATATTATTGCAATACATAATACTAAGATAGTAATATTATTGCAAAACACTTGAAGTAAATCCAGGCAATACTTTTTGAGTTTTTTAGTGTTAGCCCGGACATACATACAGACAAACATTCTAAAAATTATATTTTAACTTCAATATCGTTTGTAGATCACGCCCCAAGTATTCTTTTCAATAATATTCAATGTACAATTTTAACTTTCTTTCGATTTTACTATATGTATGTATAGAAACGATAATCCCCGATAACTAAAGATTATAATATCAATCAAATGATAAATACACGGCACGTTGCAGTCTTATATCGAAGATCGATCATAATGATGATGTCTCGCCAATGATATCGATCATTCAACATGAGATCTACACCTATATTCCTAATCTAAATCATAATAGGCAAAGAATATGATTGTATGTAAGTATGTATTGCGTAATTGTGTAACGTGTGTATCTGAACAACTGACTTATTCGTCAACCGCGTCCGTTAGTTGCCACCTTTCTATTTCACCTAGATTTTTTATGTCGTCAACTCGCTGACACAGGTAAAATGGCTACTTTTGTACGGTTGGCAGAAAAGCGGGTGAAACCGGGCGCACGGAAATAGCTAGTTGTAAAGATAATGCAATTTTTATCAATATTGTACTCACAAAAGTTGAAATACGTGTAGGTATGTAATATGTACTTGATCTTACCAGACGACCTCGTAGGATGATAAAACAAAATTTGATCAAAAATAATGTCTATTATTATCTTATAAAGAGTCATTTTTAGTTTGCATGTCATTGTAATTAGTTATTGAACGTTTAGACAAATTCCGTAATTATTTTAATTTAGATAATCTTGTCATTATGTTAGCCATAATAATGACAAACAAATATAATCTAAGACTTTATAACTGATTGCCTCGTTGGCTGAGTGGTCGCAAGTGTGACTGCCGGGCAAGGGGTCCTGGGGTTAACTACCCGAGTGGGGCAAAGTACAACAGGATTTTTTAAAAATTCTCAGTTGTAGCACGGAGTCTAGAATTGTGCCCGGTATATGGCAATAGGCTCACCCCCGATTACATGCGACTCGTAACATAAATAGTGAAAAGTGGGTGTTACATTGTACATGTGCACCTAGCCTACCCTTTCGGGGATAAAAGGCTTAATAACATTTATTATTTTATGATGACAACTTTGTAACGACGAGAGAACACAAAGTTGTGTGCAAACATTTAAATATTAGCAAATGGTTTACACCTTTAAGACAAATATTTATAGATTTTATGTGTTTGTTACCTATATCTATATTTTATTAGGCAATGCTTGCGTTGTGCTTCGTCGTGTGAGTGAGGTTACCGAAGGTCCAATTACCTCCCTCCCCAATGTCCCCAATCCTCATTCCTACCTCCAAAAGGTATCCGTGTGCGGCGTCGATTGCTTACCATCAGGTGAGCTGTCTGCTCAATAGATTTTGTTTTAATTATTACATGTTTGTTTATCTCAGTCTCAAAGTATAAAAAAACAAAGTATAAAAGTAAAAATGTAAATCTGATAATTATAATGTTTTGCAAAATTCTACTTGATTAATTAGACGAAATGTCTTGCCTGCATTAAGTATTTCTACGACAGTTGTGAATGCGGAATTTTCTCAGTTTTAAAGTCAACATGAAATAATTTAAGAAACGGAGAACAAGGCCAAGGTTTGGCCTTATGTGATAATGTACATGTGTGGGATAAGATCAAGGCCTACTTCAATCGAAACCACTTTAAAAAGTTCAACTTACGAATATATCGTTTAAGATACGTTTTCAATAATTAATGTTAATATATCAATTATAGCTCCTGCCCGCGACTTCGTACGCGCAATCCCGTTTTCTCCCGTTCCCGTAGGATTTTCAGGATTTTTTTTCTGTCATAAGAACCTTCTCCTGACAATAACAAACACAACAAAAACAAAAATCAGCAAAATCGGTCTAGCCGTTGTCCTGCATATTCACTTGAATGTATAAACAAAAATTCATCCTAATTAGTTCAGCTGTTTAGGATAAAAAACCTAAACATCGACTGCAGCGTCATCTGCTGGACTGATTTGTGAATCTAAACCATTCCCAGATCCCCTTGAACACACACAAAAAGTTTCATCAAAATCGGTCCAGTCGTTTGAGAGAAGTTCAGTGACAGACACACTCACAGAAGAATTATATATATAAAGATATATATATATAGATTACTACATAACTCGGTTCACTTTGACGGTTAATTACGTATCTATTTATACATTCCAATAAAAAAATGATAAGCACCGTTATTACATAACATCAGTCCAGTAAATTATTTAATTTCACTAGTTGAAAACTACCGGATTACGGATTATTGGAGTCAAAAAATTCCTGAAAATACTCCTAAAAACATCCTATTTCACTTATTAATCCCCTAAATCTGGTGGGAAAACCCCTAATTTGAGAACCGTGATTACAGGAGACTGCACAAGGTTCCTTGATGAATATTTTGCAATGTGTGCAGAAAAACTACATTTCTGAAAACTAATTGTGTAGCTATGTATATTGGCTTTAAATATGTATATGGTCATCCTACTAATATAACAAGTTTGTGTTTGTTTGTTACTCGCTTCATATAAAAACTGCTGAAGGGATGGGGATGAAACTTGATACAGGGGTAGATTATAGTCTAGACGGTATTATCGCACAGGAACGGTACCACAAGCTAGTACCAAAATATAATCCTCGGTATATAATTTCAATATTGTCTGGTAAAGTTTTCAAAGTGCCGGCTACTATGTTACCGCCATATATTATACTCTTACTAAGTGGTACTCCATTAACATGTTAATATTATTTGTCCGACTGTTGCTCATATTTGGAACCTTGTTGTTCGTTCTAAAATATATCTAAGTTCATTTAGAAAAGAACAAAACTTAGTCGAATTCGGAAATACTAAGGTTCAGCCAAATCTCTAGTTCCAAAGTTATTGGAAAAAGCCCAGAAGAAATATACAGAAATAACAGAACTAGTAAGAAAAAATTGAGACAAAACAAAAAGTAAAAAAATACACAAAAACACGAATAAGTACCAACCGGATTTTTCTTCTGCAAAAACGACATACTTCCAAATAGTGGATGAATTGGTTCGTGTGGCACTCCGAGCTTCTTCCAATAGTTCTTCATAGACAGCCATTTTGAGTACAACCATAACGATATGATACAGAGAGGTAATACAAAGATATAGTACATTATGTTACGCGGTACCGAGAGCACTGGCTTCAAAGATAAGTTCACGCTGATTATATATATATGAATCCGCTCTTATGTATCTACTGTATATGTAGCTACTAGTCGATATATGTATCTGATTTATGCTAACTGTAGGAGTATGCAGATCAATGTATCACCCATATATTAAGTGTGGGTAAGCCATGCTTCGGTACGAATGGGCCGGCTCGACTGGAGTGATACGGACCACGGCCTCACAGAAAACCGACGTGAAACAACGCTTGTGTCGTGTGAGTTGGGTTTCCGGAGGCCCAACGATCTTCCTCCTTTGCCAATCTCCTCAATCCCTGAATCTGAGACATTCCTCAAATTCCTAATCCCCAAAAGACCGGTAACGCACTTGTAACGCGTCTGGTGTTTCAGGTGTCCATGGGTGACGCTGATTGCTTACCATCAGGTGATTCGTCTGCTCGTTTACCGGCTTATTCTATAAAAAATACCATACTTAGCCAATTATGTATGTATGAGTCCTATGTGATAAGGGATGAGTCTAATACCTCAATCTAGGTTTCTTTCCAGACTTGTGTCTGGATTCACATCTTTTAAGTACCTACGATTTTCTTTTTGCTATATAATGATAGGACCGATAATAATAAGTAATAAGTACTATTAACATGATTTGGACAATTTAAACCTATAATCATGTTTGTTTATTCTTAAAAAATTGTCGTGTCATAAGATTGTGATCAATTCATTCAATTATCTTTAGACAAAATAAAACTATCTGTCGGCCTGTTCGTGAAAATTGATACAATTATATGTTGATTCTCATGAAAAACACGCAAAATCTAACATATATTATCACGTCTTTAATCCCCGGAGGGGTAGGCAGAGGTAGGTAGAGTGGTAGTACGGCGTCTGCAAATGTGCCCGGTATACGGCAATAGGCTCACCTATTACATGGAACTCATAACATAAATAGTGAAAAGTGGGTGTTACATTGTACATTGCCATTAGCTGCCGTAATGTGCATCCCTGCCTACTCTTTCGGGCATAAAATGCCTGATGTTATGTTATGTTATATCTAAGTTTGTGTAAAAAGTATCGTAAAAATAAAATTAGCATAGCCAAGTATTGTTGGAGGTGAATTGATCATAATTAATAATTTAATCACGATGTAGTATTTGAATGCTTTATAAGACATGGGTTCACATCCAAATGATGCAATTTCTATTATTATAACACAGTGTAACGAGGAAAGATGTAAATATTTCAATACACTGCATGTGAGTAGAATTGTATTTGTGATTATCATATTGGTGATGTTTATACCCGATGTTGACAATGTCAGCCCAGATATGTCACTCTGTTGTTAGGAAAAACCTCTCTCCACACGGAGAAGGGACAAGCATTAATTGCAAAATTTGCGCATTGATGATTTTAATTTCTAAGCGAGTTACTGAGGTGGAGGCACCGACTTCTCATCTATCAGTGGGTGTGTAAGCTATAAGTAAGTACGTATGACCAAAAAAGTAGGCATTTTTTGCTTTTTAGTTACACCTTAAAAAAGTTAAATATTTTAGTTTTTAGTTATTTCTATTTTAAGTTGTATATAATTATATAATTTCAATTCTTATCAATAAAAATGATGTCAGCTTTTTTATTTTTAAACTATCTATAAAATAATGACTGTAAGGATTTACCGTACATTGGAGACATATACTAGATTTATCTCGTATATTAAGATTAGACTAATACTAATATAAAAATAATTAAAATCTAAGAAGCCGGTAAACGAGCAGACGGTTCACCTGATGATAAGCAATCGGCGTCGCTCATGGACACCCGAAACACCAGAGGCGTTACAAGTGCGTTACCGGCCTTTTGGGGATTAGGAGTTTGAGGATTGTGGAGGATTTGGGGATTAGGGAGACTGGGGAAGGGGGTAATTGGGCCTCCGGTAATTTCACTCACACGATGAAACACAACGCAAGCGTTGTTTCACGTCAGTTTTCTGTGGGGCCGTGGTGGTTAAACTCTGGTCGAGCCGGCCCATTCGTGCCGAAGCATATCTCTCCCACACTGGCACTACGTAACCTTTCTGAAGGCATTTTACTTTAAAAAATGGTAAACACGTGACACAAAAAGATGACCTACTTCCACCGGAGTAATTCCCCCTTTTCTGATCCCCTTTAGTGACACAAAACAAAAATTTTAAATTTCCATAATTAAAACCAAATTACTTTTCCGTTCCATACAATTCCGTATTAATTAAAGCCATTAAAAAATTAATATTTCAAAGGCAAGTCTGAAGCCATTAGGAAGCCCTTTGTCTGCCAAGTGCCCATTGATCCGATGGAATAATAGCGTTATTGTAATTCAATTAGTGAGGTCCTGGGTTCGATTCCCGGCGCCAATTATAAATGGGACAATGGACTAAAATTATATAATTGATGGTATTGGTTTCCAAGTTACCATGTGTTGTGTGCGATTTATGTGTTGTTTTGGTCGTTATTTGGTTTCTTGTAGTGGGTTCATTCATTATTAGTTTGGGTAAAGTTGAATGAAATCTATTTACGTTTACTACCTTAGTAACCTCGTTTTTCCTGAATGTGTAGGCAGACGTGTAAACACAACATTTCGTATCCTCGGTTTCCGATTACCAGTCATCTTTTTTTTCATAAACAAATTTACATTTATGTCGAATACGGTTTTTATAATTGAACCAAAATTAAAAAATAATCACATAAAAATCAAGAAAGTCAATTAAAATAAAACAATCTTATACTATTATATAAAGCGGAAGAGTTTATTTTTTTTGTTTGTTTGTTTGAACGCGCTAATCTCCGTAACTACAAGTCTGATTTGAATAATTCTTTTTGTGGTAGATAGCGCATTTATCGAGGATACCTATAGGCTATAAAACATCACGCTACGATCAATAGGAGCTAAATAGAGCGTGTGAAACCGCGCGGAAGTAGCTAGTCATACATAAATTAAATTCATACATAAATTAAACACTTTATTTAATGTAATAAGGAACTGGTTCTGGAATTAAATCTTAATTTAACTTAGGTATCATATTAACTTCACTAAATAAAACTATAGTCAATAAATTTTAAGTGTGGGAGAGCTATGCTTCGGCACCGACCGGAGTGATACCATAGCCTCACAGAAAACTGACGTGAAGCAACGCTTGCGTTGTGTTTCGTCGTGTGAGTGGGGTTACCGGAAGCCCAATTACCCTCCCTTTTTCCAATCTCCCTAATCCCTAAATCCCCAACGATCCTCAAACTCCTAATCCCCAAAAGGCCGGTAACGCGCTTGTAACGCCTCTGGTGTTCCAGGTGTCCATGGGCGACGCCGATTGCTTACCGTCAGGTGATCCGTCTGCTCGTTTACCGGCTTATGCCATAAAAAAATCCATGTGGAGGCATTCTTCAAACATCAATTGTTAAAACTGGACAAAACCTTTTCCTGGTCAGAGCCCGGTTGTGTGACCACCGCTGCCCATGGGGCATCGACACTCGCAGCACCAAAGGAATTACAAGTTACCATGATCTTGAAGGATCTTCCAGGAACCTCACTCACATGGTGGACGAAACACCACCTAATATTATTTCACGTTGGTTTCATACGAAGCCATTCTTTACGAGAGTAAAATACACATATTCTTAAATAGGTACTTATCAATCACTTTATTTAGAAAATCTAGGATATTAAGATCGAGGCTGTAAGCTTAGTAATTAAATGATAATACTGAAATGTTACATAATCCTCGTATTTTGTAATTTCGGTTAAACACCACTGCAGTATATTGGATCCTGGTAAAATATGTGAATTCTTCTCATATTGAAGTGACGGAATTATAATAAAACTAACTCCTGCCCGCGCCTTCGTACGTGCAATTCCGTTTACTCCCGTTCCCATAAGATTTTCAGTATTTTTTTCTATCATAAGAACCTTCTCCTGACAATAACAAACACAACAAAAAAAAATCTGCCAAAATCGTCCAGCCATTCTCAAGTTATGGCGTGACAACGGGAAACGGGTTTCATTTTTTATAATATAGATTTTGAATAAATAAGGAATGGTAACAAAAGTATAGCTTGTTTGGACTTAATTCATATTATTACCTCTATAGTCCCATTACTTCGTTATTCAATAAAATTTTGAACTACTGAAAATAGAAGTTAAAATACCTTTAACATATTAATAAACTGTACTTCCAAACGTAAACATGAAAGTGATATAGGTACTAGTACTACCTACAAAGCGATGATGCAAGATTCTTTTGTTACAAAAGCCGTTACCGTAACAAGGGTTGTAACTTGTAACGATACAGCAACCGAAGTTGCTCGCCGCGCCCCGCAGTCAGGTCCACCTTAATATTTTATAACTTTTCAACAAGTTTTTTTTTCTAAGTAATTAACTGGACGGGCTTAATAGCGTGCGTGTTAAGCCATAGGAGGAAGCGAATTACGTAGGTACTGTTTTATTACTGGATTTTTTAATTTATTGCAATGTTCTTAAGGTTGAATAACTATTGAAGTTTGTTGGTTTACTGGCTATTTATAATCTGTGTTGTTATAAATTGTAATTATTATAAGTGATGTCAATCACATATGTCATGTACCTTTTCGTATGTGTGTGAAAAAACAGAGTTATATAGAACAATTATGTAAACAACGATTATTTTGATGTTTTTCAGTTTTTACTGGTTTTTGACGCATTGGTACCTACTTAGGTACTCGAATGGTTATAAAATACGATAGTTATAGTAGGTAGGTAAATACGATTCTCAATAACGACATGGAGTCTCAAATTATATTGTCCGTTACTTAGTTATCGTTGATATAGCCTTTTATTTTTTCTACTTTTGCGAAGCAGTCATGCTAAGGAGGAGGCGGCACGCGTGAGGCAGCGAAGCGCTGCCTCCTCGCAACCCAGCCATCGCGAAGGACACACCGGGCGTCGGGGATCGCGGGACGATCTCCGGCCACCGTAAGCGCGGGCCTGCA